GTGATTCTATTAAAATGGAAATGATATTCCGTTGCCACGATTTCTACGTTGCGTATATACTCATATTTTAACAAAATTGAAAATTCAATTCGACGTGGCAATCGAATCTTCTTGATAGTAGTCGTATGAAATTACGCGTGAGTGATTATGAATCGAGATACGTACGGAAAATGAACGTTAATTATTTCTCAATATGGGAGAAGAGATAATTTATCGTGGAAAAAATTTCGGAAATTTTTTGAAATTAATAATGAGAAAAAAGAAAAAGAGCAAATATGAACAATTAGTAAAACACATCGATGTTTTATTGTATAAATTATATACTCATTTTTCTTGTTCATTTTTCTTCTTGTTGAAGTTTCTATTTTTATATGTAACAAATAGTTTTTAAACTGTCTATACTATATAAAAATACATGTTTCTACGTTCTATTTTATAAAGTTAACAATAATTTTATTGTATATTCCTGAACAAATTTCTAGCATTAAATAATTAAAGTTAATCAAAAGTTGATATTCTTGAAAAAACCACGATATAATTTTGTTTTCTATTTTCTACAAAATGGTACAATTCAATTTGCAATAATCCTGGAATAATGATGGCTAATTATTCATCTTAATGTATACAAACTGTATGCAATAGAACAATAGAAAAAAAATGAAACCTGTGAAGTAACTAAGTAACTAAGTAACTAAGTAAACTATCTGCTTCTAAATACTTTAATATCTTTCAATTTCTCCTGAAATATTTTATACCATTATTAGCATAAAAAAATTAAATAGTTTTGAATACTTATATATTAAAAGAATTAAATATATTCTAAAAATATATTCGTTATATGAATGAAGATAAAATGAACTACTTTTGTAAAATAGAATACAAGAGTACACGAATGTAATTAGTAGTAGTTGACTTATTTCAACGCTTTTTTCCCGCATCAATTCGGTGATAGGCTACGTTCTTTAACATCACTTCGATGGAAATGAGAATAGCGAGAAACCGACAAGCGAGTATTAGTTGCCGTATATTGATTTCCTGTAAGCGATGTCACGAAAAAGAGAAAAAAAGAAGGTAATACCAGCAGCGCATTTTAAATTTCTCATTTTTTATCGCGAATTCATTACTGGTCGATGCGTTTCTTGTGTCAAATTGTTTCTTAACCATTGAAAATTATTTAAATAATTCAAAGATCGTTATTCGATTCTTATATGTATTATTTATGTTTATGTATTTTATTTTGAGAGATAGTATTGCACGAAATTTAATATTAAGATCTTTTTTTAACTTACTATTTGTGAAAAATTTGGCATAATCTTGTGTATTAAAAAGATTTAAGCTTCCTTTGTGGTCTTTGTAAATATGTAATTAAGGACTTACCAACTTGAGCCACGCGTTCGTAGTTAATATTTGATTCTTCTCATCCTGGAAAAAAAAATATATTATTAATTTTATTTCAATATTTAAATTGTTAACTATTTTATAAAATTAAAGATTGTCATAATTGTTTTCTTTGATAATTAATATTATTATCAGTTGATATTTTAATTATTGTCAAATACATTGAATTATATTATGTTAAAATTGAAATATTGATATATTATTGAAATTATTATTTATATATATATTTTATTGCTTATGATATGTGAAAATATAAAATATTTGTATAATTTCTTTGCACATGAAATGATATCTTGATAATAATAATCTGAATAATTATCTAAATTATACTACAAAAACAAAAGAATTAAATATGTCTATTCCAATATGATACATTTTCCAAATTAACATACTCACTTCCTCAAACAAAAGGATAATCATACAAATATCTAATAAGATAGAAATTCATTCATTGTATAATTAAGTGAAAGAGAAGTTTATAAGACATAGGATCAATGATCAAACGCGAGAACGAAAGCAAAAAAGTAGAGTTATATAAATAGCAAATGGTAAAATTTACGGCAAAAAGTAGAGAACCAATAACCACAAATTGCTGTTGCAATCGTTCGTTTACCAAGTGCTCTAAAGAGAACCGCACTCCACCACAGGCTCATCAGAACTTCAAAGTGATTTATAAAATGGATGCACTTTAACGATAGTGTCAACGAACAAACCACTTGGTAAACGATCGTGTCCAACCAATTAATCGTTGACCAATACTACTTAGCACGATATCTTCTATAATTGTAAGGGAAATTTTCCTTATATATTCAGCCTTTCTTTGAATTAACTAATGAAAAAACTATTTTGTGAGTATGCTTTCTACGATACACATATTATCCAAGGAATTATAATATAGAATATTTTATACAGAAATATATATGATGAATGTATTTTATAAAAACGAATTGTGAAATAGATATAGATAAATAATTATAACAAATAATTAATACTATTAATAAGTGTCTTTTAAAAAATTTAATTAAAATATTATTCTCTCAAATAATAAAATTCTTCAATTACTTTTTCATGATTCTGAATAATTTTCTTTTTTCAAAAATTTAAAAATAATAACTCAAAGAGTAGAAAGAACTAACTTAAGTTTAATTTGATCAACTTTCTTCTAATCATATTATCACTATATTGTTAAAATAGCATATACATGCAATATATATCCTTACAAAACCTAATTAAATCAGTAAAAAAACATTATTAGAATAAAGCAAAATGTTATAAATTATTTTAGATATAGAAACACCGTCAATGTCTTTAAGATATTCGCAATATGTAAACTCTAAAAAATACACAGTGAAAATTATATCAGATGTTTAAGAAAGTTATGAATTATATAATAAAATAAGCATAATAAAATTTATTATTTAATTTTAACTAATATTATAAAGTTAAACTAATAATAATAAACTAATAATATAAAGAATAAATAATATTAATACAATATTTCTTTTGAAATCTTTCTATTATTTCATTGATATATCTATTTTCAATATCGTCATTAACTAAAATTTAAAATTAAAGTTCTGTCTTTATTAAATTACATTGTATAAAAGCTTAATGTTTCAAAATTATTGTCACGAACGAAATAAATTTCTAAGGCGTATCTCGTTTAATAGCGGAATGAAAGTATATTTGCATGTCAATGGTGCATCCTCAGGTTGTATAGGATGCGAGAAAAGCTTGCGACCAGCGCAACAAGTATGAAACGATTTAAGTTTAACGATTCGTGACGAAAATGGTCTGTTAATCTCGTGAAAGTTGGCTAGAACGTGGTGATAGTAAGGAAGTGATAAAAAATGCAATTAAGGGATAACCTGGACGCTAAGTGAACTTATTATTTCATATTTAAACAGTACGTGGGTCGGCCACACGATCCTCATCATTTTTCGCTTGGAAGTGAGATGAAATAAAAAATTGATTTTAATACTATTCAAAATGAAATTGAAATGATTACAAATTTTTCAATAGTCACAAATTTTTGTAATACTGAATTATTATTATTTTATATATATACTTCGTTATTATAGAATGGAAAAATGCTTATATTAAAAGATATTTTGTAAGAGTGAAATAATAGATTTGTGGAAAGCAATTGAAAAGTTTGTATAGAAAATAATTCTTATATATTTTATATTATATTTCTATGAAAGAAAAAAAATTTAAACATGTTTAATTATTATTTAGTAAATTTAAATTTTCTAAAATTGTATTTGATCTTCAAGATGCAAAATCATAGATAGAAAGTAAAAATAAAAAAGAAAATTGATATAAAAAAAATTTTGATAAACTTTTTGAATGACGAAAAAATGTTAAAATCTGAAAGCATCCACAAATGATTTATTAAAATATATACCTCTGAAAGTTCTCTTTCTTTGATAATGATATTTCCCATAGAATACATCTTTGCACTGAATACATCTTAGTAACAGTGTAACGTTCAGATTGTTTAGATATCTCCTTGATTTGTGAATTCGTTAGGGTATTTGGTAATTGGTAACCTTGGTCCACGCATGTGCTAAATACTTGTCTTCGCTTCAAAGTGAAATCGAATTAACGCCTGATTTCCACTTCAAAGTGGAATCAGATCCAAGGTCGATTTTCCGTTCGGCTCAAAGCGAAATTAGATCGATCGACGGTGCGTAAAGTTTTCCGGTCAAGAAGCACACACGTGACCAAGAGATGCTACGAAATCAAAATTTTCTGCGTATGAACAATTTTAAAATTTTATTGTATCATAATTTAATAAAAATAAGTCGAAAATGAAGTATATTCCTTTGGAGAAGTTATAACGGAATCGTCACATAATGTAAAATATTAGATCAATCTTTAAGTATATAATATTTCAATATCTGAGTTTTATACAAAAAAAATGAATATTTTTTTGGAAAAATCGTCTAGAAATTGAATGGAGAATGAAGAAGAGATAATTATTTTTATTTAATATATTGCTTATGTATTAATTTATGCGAATTATATTAATTTATGCCAATTTATATTAAATTTTAGATTTAATGTCAAGATATAATTGCCATTTGTTTCACGTTTTTTAATATGCATTCTGCACGTTAGCACAAGAATATAAAGCTATTACGACCATAATTTAATAGTATCTTTTAATAATTTGATTAAAACAATATATATGCTTTCTATGTATGTACGATAATATATGTAGAATAATTTTGAAACAAATCCGTAATGAATATTTATATAAATACTTAAGAATACATTATTCATAATTCTAAATTTATGAAAATTATTACAATACCAAGAGAAATTAAACGAATTAAAAAATTAAAATATTTTATTATTACATTGTATAAAAATATAATAGTATATGATTGTAATACAAAAATTTATTAAAATATTATTAATTTTGAACTTATGTACATGCTACAATGTACGTTTCTAAATTATTGCATTTAAACTAAATTGATTTCTATCGATGATAATTGATTGAATGTAAATTGTTAAACTATATATAATAATTGAAAAATGAAAACAGAATGATTTGACTACAAATAAATAATTTTGTAATAATTTATAATATTTCAATTACAATGTTTCTTGATAAATCTTCTTAGTACAAACAAGAATCTTTTCTCGTAAATCAAATGAATTTTACAAACAAAACTCAAATGTAAGACACGAGTGAACTTCTCACATTTTTTTAGACGAAAAAAAATTTTATTTCTCGTAAGTTTTCTCGATTTGAAAAATATATTCAGATACCTTACCCAGATTACCTCACACCCTAATTAGCACGTGCAATAAATTTCAGCATGCACGAAACGCTAATACATATCCATTTTATTACGAAAATAATTCCGCGCTTGACACGGTCATGATTAATCGTTGTTTAATATGTTTCGTGGCGGAAGAGAGCGGCAGATTATCGGAAATCAATAAGCGATCAAATTATCGAATCAATCATAGTGAAACAAACCACGCTGAGAGACGTTCATGCTAATCGAACCGGTTATTAGATTATTAGAACTCTTCTCTAACTGTTCTTAACTGAGAATTACGAGAAGAATTGATTCGCTTTATTATCTCCAATTCTCTGAAGTTCATTCCATTTATTATTTTTATTGCTGCAATGATCTTCGTTTCAATGGCTAACAATGTTTGCAATTGTTATAGGATCTAAAATGAATTTATCTTATTATCTGATCGAATCGAATCGAATTGTTTCGAAATGCATGTGAATAGTGTAGTGTGTAACAAAAATTAATATATTGTTTATGTTTACAATAATTTTTATTGTAATAAATTATTTAATTTTACAACACTATTCTCTACAATAATTTTAAAAATATATAAAATATTTATTGAAGATACATGTATTCTAAAAATTATTAAAATTACTAAAGAAATTATATTATACTAGAAATTGAACGAAAAAAAGTAATTTTTCATTAAAGATTGAAATGCATTGCAACATCTGGATTTTTTCTCCTTTCTCAATCATTCGATTCATTTTGAATCTTCTTTTAAATGGAGATTTTTATAACGATGAATCTAAAAAAGTTTTCGATATTTCCATTCTTTTCCAATTCAGAATAAAAACTTCAAAATCAAGTGAAAGAATATAACTTAAAAGACCTCTTTCTTCTCTTTACTTATTGAACATAGTTCGTTACCTCGCTGAAATATTAATTTCGAGGCAAATTATTTAACAAATAATTTTCAGAGAGTTGCTTTTTAACAACCTTACCGCGAACTACAAGGGACATTTGTTTACACATCACTCGAGTAACTGTTTAACCGAAACAATGTGTATAGCGGAAGGCTACGACGCAGGTGTCGAAACTAATCGAAATTGTTGACAACGCCTTTGGTCACACGGTCTACGCACAGACCCCTCTTAATCTGCACCCCTATTCACCTCAAAGCGGACACCAATCGAAGGTTGAATCAAACACGGGCCAACCCTTGACGTTAAAATTTCCCTCACTGATACATTACACTTG